GTTGTTTGTTGTTGTTTGTTGTTGTTTGTTGTTGTTTGTTGTTGTTTGTTGTTGTTTGTTGGTGTTTGTTGTTGTTTGTTGTTGTTTGTTGTTGTTTGTTGTTGTTTGTTGTTGTTTGTTGTTGTTTGTTGTTGTTTGTTGTTGTTTGTTGTTGTTTGTTGTTGTTTGTTGTTGTTTGTTGTTGTTTGTTGTTGTTTGTTGTTGTTGTTGGTTGTTGTTGTTTGTTGTTGTTGTTGGTTGTTGTTGTTTGTTGTTGTTTGTTGTTGTTGGTTGTTGTTGTTTGTTGTTGTTTGTTGTTGTTTGTTGTTGTTTGTTGTTGTTTGTTGTTGGTTGTTGTTGGTTGTTGTTGTTTGTTGTTGTTGTTTGTTGTTGTGTGTTGTTGTTTGTTGTTGTTTGTTGTTGTTTGTTGTTGTTTGTTGTTGTTTGTTGTTGTTTGTTGTTGTTTGTTGTTGTTTTTTGGTGTTTATTTGTTGTTATTTGTTGTTATTTGTTGCTATTTGTTGTATTTGTTGTTGTTGTTGCTGCAGCACCCTGAATGCTAAACTAAACTAAGGGTTTGTCTGAGGACTTGTGCACTTGCACTTCGTTTGTGAACTATCTCGATGTCAATTTCAGGGGGGGGGAGCTCCTTTCGTGGAGGTACTCCTTTTCTCCGGGACGAGGGCCCAGAGAAAAGCTGAAAGGGGACCCAAAATCCCCATTTATGCCTATCCCTGCTGCCACGTGCCGTGATGTGTCACACCCTGCAGTCGGCATTGCACATGGCCCACTGCAGTGGTAGACATTCTCCATGTCTGCCACCAGGGACTGGACCCTATCCCCAACAACACAGTGGCTTGGATTCTGCCGTGCCTTGGTTTCTGCGCAGGATCCCAAGGCACCGACTGGCCAAATGATGCAATGGTGCTTTATGGCCTCGTCTCTCTTACCAATCCTCAACGTTGTAGGTTTCACCGGTGACCGTAGGTGTACGCCGAGTGGTCGTAAGCTGGATGCCAGGCGGCCAGCTTTCGGGTGGCCAGCCAGGTGTTGAGTGCCCTGATTTGCCCTTTAAAGGATGGAAGGAGAAGAGGCAGTCTCGGCTTCGCCTGCGGCCCAAAGAGCTGCACGATTCAACAAAATCGATTTACCATAGTTGCGGCTGCATCGGGGTCCGGGGCCCTACTACCCAACTTTTTGTGATTTGGGTTCTTTCCTCTTTCTTTCTCGTTCGGAAATGGGCGGGGCCTCGTCCGCCTGAAGTCATTCGGTCTCTTTGTTCCGGCCCGAGTGGGAACCAGGGAATTCGTTTAGGCCCACACACGAGGGTCTTAGGAAGGCACTGATCTCTTGCGTTCCTCGAAAGGGTCCAGGGGCGTTGCGTTCTCCGCACCCGTTGTGCTGAAAATGGTGCATTCTCCGCGCTTGTTGAGCTGTTGCCGTCACGAAGGCTGCTGCCTCCGTTTCTGCCTGGCGTGTTGATCTCAAGCGTTCCTTGCAAGGGTTCAAGTTTCAAGAGGGTGCTGTTGTTTTCACTATGGCCGTGGCTGTTTGGTTCCCCTGTTGTGTTGTTCTCCTACACTCCTTGCAAAGGTTCAGGAGGGTGTTTCATTCCCGCCGCTCCTATTGTGCGGTCAAGCCTCCTATCACATGATGCAGTAAATCGACCTGCGTCCTCCCCGCTTCAGCGCGTATTTGTGTTCTTGTTTTTGTTCTCGTTCTTGTTCTTGCTCTTGCTCTTGCTCTTGCTCTTGCTCTTGCTCTTGCTCTTGCTCTTGCTCTTGCTCTTGCTCTTGCTCTTGCTCTTGCTCTTGCTCTTGCTCTTGCCGTTGTTGTTGCTGTTGTTGTTGTTGGTGGTGGTGGTGGTGGTGGCGGCGGTGGTGGTGGTGCACTCCAGAAGTCGAGAATGACAGCAGTAACAAGAGCTCCACACAACCACCAAGGTACCAGGAGTGTGTCCAAAACTGGTCGATCTTGGTGGTCTGCTTGCTGTGGTGGTACCAATCCTGCAGGTAAGGCCCTTCGCGCAAAGCCAGGCCGACTCTGGATAAGACTCGGTGAGCCTTGGTTGTTTTGGAACCCAGCATCGCGGATGCTCGTGCATCGTGGAATCCAACACCTCTCTAAGACTCTAAGAACACATAACCCCTGAGGCCTCTGAAGGCAATCCTGTTCTGAGACAAAACAACAAAAAACAACATCCCGACAGCCACAAGGGGGCTGAAGTCGATCGAAGCATCTCGGGGCGAGTCAAGGTGAAGTTTGAGACAAGCTCCACAAGCCTCCCTGTCCGTCCTTGGGGCCGGCGGGGGGGGGGGGGAGAATCCATGCTACCTGGTTAGCTCCGGCTGGGAGGACACGCCAGTGTGTTTGGTTGTTTTTGTTTTGACAGACAAGTCGTGAAGCAACGCACGCCCTCAACCCTTGCCCTTTGAAAAGGCTGTTCCCCTTTCAATAAGGAAAGGAATTTAAAAACAACTTAACCCAAGAGCACAATCACGGGACAACTCGCCCACGAAGATTCGTGGACACGCAAATGCTCACAATCAAAATTGGCGCGTTTGATAACCCTAAGCCCTCAAGCCCTCAAGCCTTAGGCTTTAGGTTTGAGTTTCGGCTCCCAAGCAACCGAGTCATGAACAAGGAAGCCTTTTGTTCAATGCAGCTTATAAGCGAATGCAGACCTTAAAACAATAAGGTCGCAAGGACATTGCTTGGTGTCCTGGTAACCGAGAGTCTCTGGAGACGATGGACGACTTGGTCTGCAGCCGTCGGCTCTTTGGGCGCCTGGTCCCGGTTGCCAACGACCGAGGGGGCCACCTGAAAAGTCCGAAAGCCCCCAAAACGTGTGGCATGGGAGCCCTAAAACCTTAGACTATAGACGCGACAGCACATGCTGAAATCCTAAATCCTAAACCTGACCCTAACCCCAGAGGTCCCCGCCTGTAACTTGAAACGCTCTTCAGGAATAGGCGCATCCACATCTTCCATGAGGCTCCCCCCGCCCGCGAAGGCGCGCTATCCCAAATCTTTAAAGGCCCGCCTCTGCCGGACATGGGTCATGTTGAATAGGGTGCAGAAGGTCGAGCTTTCCGTGCATTCGGGTAAAGTTCAGGGTTCACGATTAGGACTTTGATGATTTGATATGATTTCGGCAAGATCGACCGCAATTACGCAATCAGACCGGCTTGAGCGCATGGCGAACGTTGCAGTGGCAATCTGGGTCGTGTTGCACTTCTTGCTGCGGTTTGCACTGGACTTCTTTTCTCCGACATTCACTGAAGGCGTGGCTGTGGTCGAAGCTTGCTTTGCGGAGGCTTTGCCGCTTTGCCTCTCTACGTAGCAAAGCACGGCTTTGTGCCGTTCCACAGAGGTGTCTTTCGCAGAGGCTTGGGGCCGGGCTCGGCCTCCATGTTAAGGGCGATCGAAATTCCGCAGGACAACTGCAACTGTTATCACGTGTCAAAACCACGCCATTCTGTCCAAACTTTGCAGACGGCGCCTCAATGAACTTGCACTTGTCAAGACTAAGAAAGAAACTGCTTGGATTCTTTGACCCAAGGGCAGCATCACGGCAAAACGCTGCGTGCGACATGATGCTTTTTGGTGCCCAAGGAGCAACTCTTCATGATAAGATCTGCACATGACACGTGGCAGGTCCTCCAGTGGGAGGTCTACACCTGGAGAATCCCCTGCTACGTGAGCCTGAACTATTGCCAACGTGATTCCCCTCACATGCCCTATGTTTATGGGATAAACAACCCAAAAGAGTCCATAACAGTGCATTCGAATCTAGATAGACCTCCACATTTAATATTTGGCCTGGGCTATCCCCAGCTACATTCCAAAATCATGAATCAGAGATGTAGACATGTTGCAGGTTCCCACCGTGAGTGAGTCGAGTGAGGTCATTATCAAATCCACAGTGTATCCGTCCCACTGCTCACCATACCCAGTAGCTCATGATGCTCCGCTGTGCACTGAGGTCAGGACAGCTGGACAGCCACCACATCATGCGGCGCTAAGATCTCCTGCACTACGGAGTGGCTCATCTTGCCATTCCTGCAATCATGTCAGATAAGGGTCCACCCCCCCAGGTATAACTAGATACAGAATCAAACCGCTGTTGGGCTCGACGACAATTGGTATAGCCAACTCCGACTTCTGAGGGCGGCACGAACCCAGAAACAAACTCGAGTTTCATGCGGCGAAAGAGATCTGGCACTTCACCTGCCGGCGCCACTTTCCTAATCTGAAAACCGTCCAAGAAACATCATTGAATAACTTCCTCTTAAACGCCACATGGGTAGTAAATGGTGGCAGATGTGTCATGTCCAAAGGTCATACTCATATCTTGTTTCCATGGTACAATGGTACAAGAATGAAGCGCTCGGAAGAGCCTGGAGGCTGCGAAACGCCGCCACAAAAACATCGAAGACTTTGCCCACAACCCTGTTCTTTACGGGTTTAGGGTTCAGGGCTCACGATTTAGGGGTTTAAGGCTGAGGGTTCAGGATTTAAGGGCTTAGGGTTCAGGCTTCAGCAGGGTTTAGGGGCTTGGGGTTTAGGGTTCAGGCTTAGGGGTTTTAGGGAATGGAACATGTTGGGCTGGATAGTGCCTGCCAAGAAGACTGACATATCGTTGTCGATGAGGTCGTTGCTCTGCTTATCTTCTGGAACCTGGGCGGCCCAACGCCCTAGCCAGAACATCCTGAACCCTGAACTCCAAGCCCGAGACCCTAAGTTCTGAACCCCTAAACCAGAAACCCAAAGCCTAAACCCTAAGCCCTGAACCCTAAACTCTAAGCCCTGACTCGAAATCTTAAGCCTTGAACCCAAAACCCCAAGCCTTGAACCGGATTTAAGCCAATTGGGCGCCCGGCATGAAGCGCCAATCAGTTTACTTCGAAATCGGTACTTCTTCACCCTCTTTCTTTCCTGGCAGCTCACTCACGTGTATTCTTTGTGATGGTGCGTCATGAAGACACTGCGGGACAAACGGGCTCTTTTGTTCAGCTGCCTCACGCCTGTGACACGATGCGCGTCTTGTCCCACCTCCGTGGCACCGGGACAGCTTCCTCGCAAATGGGATCAGGCATGGCCGCCGACGGAGGTGTGGAAGATGGTGAACTGGAAGCCGTTCGTCGGGCGCAAGGCGACTGCTTTCGGGTGATGCTGCCTAGCCGCTTGGCGGTGGCTATGCTTCTGTCGATGTCATTGGCTTCACCCAAAGAGGGCCAATGACTGATGTCCTGCGGGACCTCCTGTGGCTCCTTCACTGGCACTGGCACATCGCAAAGGGCCAAGACCTCTTCTTGGGGCTCCCAGTCCAGCATGGCACCGTGGGTACGGCGCTGGGCCTTGGTGAGGGTTGGATTTGCTTCCCGCCTGGGGCGCCAAAGGGCCTGGATCGGGGTCCCCTCTGCCATGGTAGCTGCACACTGCACTGAAAGCCACAGTGCCTTCAGCTCCACTGAGTCAGCACTCTGGATGATCTGGTCGGTCCTCTTGCCGCGCTTGACGCTGCCCCAGGAGTCATAAAAGACCTCCCACTTTGCAGCCCAGAAGAGGCCGTCCCCGCACATCGGGATCCAGCGCATGTAGTTCTCCACCTCCGCAAGCACGCAATGCTGCATAGTTGCTGTCATGCCATGGCGTGGTGAGGTCACACGGCTGCAAACCACAAAATACCACGAAGCCATCACAACCCCAAAGATCCACATGCCCTGCCTTGTGCTGAAGGCTGTCCCGGTGCAAGTAAACTCCCGGACATCCTGCAAGTATCCGGTCACCTGGGCTTTGCTTTCCGGGGCGTGCCCGGGTCCCAGAATGCCTACTATTTTGTGCGGCATACCCCGCAATTATCAGGCATTATCAGGCATGCGCTACTCATCTGTGCTCATTTCAAGGGTTTGGGGATGCTTGGGGCTCACTTAGTGGAATTTAGGGTCCTGAGGATGTTCGGCCCTAGCTCTTGCTACTTCAGTGCTACTTCAGGTCCGCCGCCTTTGGATTCGTCCTTGCTGGGGAACAACTCGCCGTGGTACACGATAGAGTAGAGAGCCTGACAGAAGCTTAGGTGTCGGGCTCGGGGGGTGGAATCCACTGCAAGACAAGTCCGCAGATGCTACGCATGACCCTTTGATCGCAATCAACATCAACATACAGTTACTGACGAAGCCTGAAAACCAGATGTTGCAAAATGTGCACCAAAGGCGGCCACGGTGAAGCGTAGAAACAAGAACAAGCCCTTACAAGTGGCACGGCGTCACTTGTTAGCACCTTCTTGGTTCTGGTATCAATCGAGCATTCATCGCTCCGAGTGAAGGTATCAGGACCGGATCTAGCCAGCACGAGGTGACATTGACTACAATTCCCGGAATCCTGCCCGGCCTCCAACTTGCAGCCATGCCAGCCGCGTTGCCAGTCGCCCTCGCGCAGCTGAAATTTCTCGAAGGGCTTCCATGGGACTTTGTACCATCCATTGGCCTTCTGTTCCTTGGCAACTCAAGCCCAATACTGAAAGCACCAGAGCACAAATTCCATGCTAGGTGACTGAATGCAGCCTGGCTTCCGGCTCACCCAGAAGATCCCTTAGTGACCTGCCGTAGGGGCCTGGGCGCGTCTCGAAGAAGCTGTTCAAGAAGCCGTCGACATCCGAGATGGATGCTGCAGGACAATGCGGCTGTGAAAGCTGATGCCTTGCAGCCGCTCCCCAAGTGAGGACTCTCTCAGGGGACGCGGCCGACGCTGTGTCAGCAAGATTCCATTCGGAAGGGCCGCCGCACGCTGCATCATCAAATGGAGGCACGGGCAGTCGCACTGTCTGCGCAAGAGCCGTGACTGGAGTTGAAGCGGGCTGGTGGTACGAGTTCGGTTGCGTAAGCAGCTCATGCATGTTGGGCAGTCGGCTTTTCTTCAAGCGACGATTCCACTTTGACTTATTGGAATCTGCCTGGCACTGGGTCTTGGTGCTGGGTGGAGTAGCTTGGCCCTCCTGCATCATCGCACGGTTGCAGGCATCGAGGGCTGCGGATCCCTTGGCCAGCTTCACTTGCAGAAGTTCTTCAACTTTAGTCGCTCGGCGCGGAATGTACTGAACAAACGTCATCCTTAGAGGCCTTGCCTGCAAGGCCGTCTCAAGCTCCTCTGCGGACTCCATTTCGCGGGTAAGGGCGCCATTCACACGGACAATCCTGTCGCTCCAGCGCAAGCCATGCTGCTGCGCCCACCCACCCAGAGCGAGCTCTATGCCATCCTGCTTAGGCACGGTAGGGCAGCGGAATCCCAAGTCGCAGTTCTCAGTGACCTCAAACTGAACGGGATTGCCGAAGAGTGGCCTCTGCAAAGCTCCAATGACACTTCCCTCCGAAAAGATCAGCCTGCAGATTTCGTAGGTGTAATCAGCCTTCATCTCTGCAAAGGGCTTGCCTTTCTTCTGCCTTCTTTTGCCCGCAAAGGACATTACTTTGCCCCGGCGAGTTCTCAGCGTCACAGTGTGCGCCAAGTAGTATTTGTCTTGAATGGCGTTGGAACTGTAGCCCGATACGCCTACGATGTAATCTCCATCCTCCAAGCTCTGCCACTTGACTTTCCTCTTTCGGCAAGCGGCGTCGTCTGCAATGTCCATTGCTGCACCGTCGTCATCCAGCAGGCATCCCTTTCGGAGCCCACCTTCGAATTCGAAGATCAGGCCGTGCATGACGTAGCCCAGCCCGGCGCCGATGCGCTTCAGCTGTCCGGGCTGGGCCTTCAGGTCCATCGACGTGGGCTTGGAAGCCATGGCGCCCAGAAGATGGAACTGATTCTGTCGCGAATCAAAGCCTATGATGGCTTGTACTTTGATGCACTTCGCACATAAATGGGCTGTTGTGATGTGTCCTGTGTCCGTCTTCGAGCATGAGAGGGACATCACCACAGTTCAGCTCCAGCGCTCTCAACAGTTCAGGCGGTCATGCCAAACATCTGACCGACATGACAGACCCCAAAGTCTCAGGTCAAGGGAGCTTGCAAGTGCGCCTGCTTTTCTCGGCAGCCCTTTCACGGCAGCCTGAGGCTAGGTGCAGTGTACTGAAGCAATCTGGCTGCTGCAAATCACAACCTCCCCACAAAAAGGAAGCAACATGAGGCCATCAGTCTCCACAAAACGAGTCCAAGCAGTAGTTCAGCAATATGGGTCTTCTGCCCTGAAGCAGCCACTCGAGTGCCCGGCCTCGTGCAGCGAGAAGGCCCTGACAAGCGCGGTTTCGAGTCAGTCTTGGATTGCCCTTCTTTCTGAAATTTGCTTGGGCCGCCCAGGCAGCAGCGAGGGCAGAATCAGGTCTTTCGGGCTCGGGCGTGTTGTGGGGCATCTGTAGTGGCTGAGGCTGTTTATCGGGCCCTATGAGCATCTAGGACATGCAGCTTGTAGATTCAGGATGTTTGGGGTTTGGGGTAGGTCCCCCCTGGCCATGGATCGAGTGCAGGAGCTTGTATGTCATTCGCTGTAGATCCCACACCCGAGGCCTAACTGAACGCCGACCTCCCCCAAGCCCTGACATCTCAAGACGTAAGGTGTCGCTGATGCCTAGTGTACCCGCCTGGGCCGCAAAACTCGACCAAACTCTGGAACTGTCAAAGTCCAGCCATACGCCGAGACCTTGCTGAACTCATCCTGCCGGCAGCTCTTTTCTGGACTCGTGTTTGCTCGGCACATACCTGTTTCGTACTGTAACAGCCACTGTCGAGGATTGGCGGTGAACGATGTCAACCAAACATCCGGGGGTGGCCCGGGGTTGGCGATCAGAATTGGGCCACTGTGCTCTACCAACATGGGCACGGCGTGTCCCTGCATGATGCCAATGCAACATGATCCCTACGGCTCCGAAACCATTGAAGTAATGACAACGGCCTCCTGAAACGGCCAGTATGAGAACAAGCGTTGTGCGGGCGCGCTTGGGTTGATGAACGAAGGGCTGCTGTGTTAGCTTGGTTACATCTGGCGGTCGTTTCGAGGGTCCCAAACTTGTGAAACACTTCACCGACGATTTTGGGGGCTTTGGGCCTGAAGACCTGCAGAACATCCCTGGAGCCCTAAGCTCGCAGCTTCATGACTTCTAGAATGAACACATCGAATGCAAGACTGCATGAAAAGCTGACAGACTTGAGGGTCCAAGATTTCTCCACCAGCTGCCTCCAAACGCCCAAACTTTACATCCTCAGAGCCATACACCTTGTAATCCTAAAAGCCTTCAACAGCCTACATGCAAGGAAGCGGAGCTCGACAATTCCAGACCACTGTGCCCGGCCCCAACCCCCAAGCACCCTCAGCCAAGACAACATGGCCAAACAACCTCCGCCTTAGAAGTAGAGGGCGTCAAAAGCTCAGAGTGGCATACCTCCTGGCCAACACCTCACCTTGCCGGCGTAATCTAGGGGCCTGAACAATTGGAATAGGGTTTTGGGGGGTTATTATAGTAGAACTACTAAGGGAACATAAGGGAATATCGAAATTATTCCGACCCCTATTTTAGCCCTTCCCTCCCCTTCAGCACCAAGCAGGCCTCGGCTGGCCACTTCCGCCGGCTCGTCTCTGAGCCTTTCCTTAGAGTACATCGTGCTACCACGTGAGTCAAAGCGAAGACCTATCTCTGACAAATGACAATACATACTCCCCCCCCCCCCTGCACCCCCCCAAGTTGTTTGCCCAACTCGATCTGGGAAGGGGAGATTTGGTCAAGTCATGCTTGGGGAACGACAACTGTAACCGTCTCATTCTGTAGCAATGCCCTGCCATCGAACAGTTCCCTCAGGTTGGCTGGGTGTCCGACACCCACCTCTGAATGCAATGCCGCGCACGTACCTGCGCTGCTCAGCTGATGTCCTAAACGGCTCAACGGAGCTCCCTGTGGCGTTCCTTCTGCTGCAAGCTTGCTGCTGCGCGCCGGTTGCATCTCTCCAGCTGCTGCTGTCGTTGAGGTTTGGCAGAGGGCACCCAGTCTGCCAAGCCGATGGACGGCCGTCCATTGTGCTGCACTTCACCACCAAATGTCTATAACAGCGCCATGGGAAGAATGATTTACTGTCTTCTTATAAACTTTGGAGTCTGCAGAGTCTTCAGGAGGCAGTCGGCAGCTAGCACGGACAAAAGATTCCGCTCAATGCGTGGAGACAGCCTCAGGCTGTCCGCAAAATGCCGTCACCCGCTCTAGCTCGGCAGAAACGCTGCGGGGTTCCAATCTGTCCTCACGTGCATGGAAGGTGCTCAACTTTCAGGATCCTTCGGGCACAGGCATCTTGACTTCAGGCAGTCTGTGATATCCCCTGCCTTTTTGACTGCAAGAAGACGCGGAGATGGATCGAACCAACTACTAACTGTGCTATTTACATCTCCTATGACATCCGTATGAGCAACGTATGAGTAAGTTGACCTGCCAAGACATGGAGGTAGCATCTGTATGCACATGCGCGTCCCGTGCTTGAAAAGTCGCTCAGTAGACGATGCCCCTGCGCGGCAAACAAACATTCAAACAGGCATTAATACCGAGTCCAGCGCGGTGTGAAGGCGAAAAATCACGTCGAAAAAACACGCCGAATGCACAGCAACAATGCAGCCCCCACCTTTGGACATGGTTGGTGCCACGCTTGCCGATGTCGTAAGGATACTGCACAGCAGAGGCTTAGAGGCTGGAGAAGCTCTGTCCATCGGCATACGCAAGCCGTAACAGTATGACTCATGATGATTGCAAAGATGTTCCAATCTACCTCCGCAAACCGCAAAGGATACCGAATACTTCGTGCGTAGGCTTGAGGATGCACAGGATAATTGGGTTCAGGCTCTGGACCACTGAGGCACTTGATCATGCACATCGCTTGCATCTGACCGCACCTTGTGCAGGGGCCTCTTGAACAGCCTGGCATCGGAAAAAGGTGTCGTGTAATTGCGGCTACTGCCGTTACAGTTCACATTCCCAGTCCGGGGTTGGCAGCTGCCAGTTTCCCAGATGCCCTAGCGCAGATGACTTCGAATGTTCCTGCAGCCATGATGATTCCCAGCATGCCCGCATGCAGACCAGTTACCTGGCATCTCGACATCAAAAACGGACATCGCCATCAAAACGGTGATGTGTGCATCAACCACCGGAAATAGAGAATCTAGATAAGAAGCCTTAAGGGCAAGGGATCGTCACATGCAATTGCAATCTTGCCGGAAAGACTTGTGCACGCTGTCCTCGCCGTCGTCATTCCACTGCCCCGGCATCATGTCTTCCGGGACCCTAGGGAACAGAAGGTGTATTCGAAGAACCGGGAAGCCAGATCCACCCAAACCGCGGGCCGTAGGTGTGGGTAACATAAAGCAGGTACCTCTTACCCCCACCCCCCACCCCGATCCCCCACACTCCGCCACTCCGCCGCCCCCCCCCCCCCGCCCCCCCCACCCCACCCTCCACATCCCGACCTTTCATCGCTCAGTTTTGGGGTTAGGGATGTGGGGTTTAGGGGTTCAGGGTTTAGGGATTGGGGCGGCTTAGGGTCTAAGGGTGTTGAGTTCTGGGTCGAAGGCCACCAACCACAAGGTATTCGGCGCTGGGTGCGCAGCAGCAAGTGCCAGCCCTTCAGTCGGTACTTCTTGTTCCTCTTCATTTCCTGGCAGCTCGGCGGGGTGTGGCTTGGTTTTTGAGGTTTGTAAACTTTTTGCTGCCCTTCATATCAGCATATATGTCCCTGGCTATATGTAACCTTGAATGCTGTCCTCTGTATTACCCGACATTATCTGCATGAAACCCATAATTCCTGACCCTGCAATTGCCCTAGAAGTTATCTTTTATCGCAGCTTTTTGGCACCTGTGGTAACGAACCTTGCATGACAACCCAGGACACTAAAATAGGGTCATGTACATGTACATATTTATACATCAATAAGATATGTGATATGTGTAAACATGTATATTTACATGTGTATATATATATATGGTCAATTCTCAAAACGCTACTTATCCAAAATGTATCGCAGAATGCGCATGTCCAAGATAAAAACGTACCTGCCGTATAGGAGACGAGAAAGTACAATATTCTCATCTAAAACCCACATTTACCTGGGAAACGCGCTAGCGCGGACTATGTATTGAGTCTCTTTTAGTTAAGTCTCAGTCGTTTTTATGGTTACATTTCTACTTGTATTTCCGTCGAGCGCAGATCGGCTCCCAACAGGTTTGTGAAAATGACTAGCACCTGTATGCGCGTGTGCGACAGTGACACAAGCACAACAGCGATTCAGAGACGGTATACCCTTCAAGAAGAGTTGTTGGGACTATGAAGGGGTAATGTTACGTTAGGGTAAGCTTACGAAAACGGTCACATCGCGGCCCCAACTTTGGAGGCCAAAATGCATCAAAGATCTTTCCGCCAATCGAGGCCCTAATGACAGCCCATCGACACCAAAAAGTTACTCGTCTATGTAGTCCTCATCCTTCAGCTCCACATCCAGGCTGTCAACCGCCACCGTCATCAGGCCGCAAATTGGCTTGACTGCACTGTGGGCATCCCAGATGGCCGAACCAAGAGCCACCTCCGCTGCCTTTTGGTCCTTCCCTGCTGCCAGCCGCCAGCAGTGCTGCAGCGCCGTGGGGTCCCGGGTGACGCCCGCAAGTC